AAACCGCCCCAGTGCATGCTGGAGGTCCTGGTTTGATGGGGCCAACAGGACAACGTCATCTGCAAAAAGCAGAGACGAGATCCTGTGGTCCCCAAACCGGACTCCCTCCGGCCCCTGGCTGTGCCTAGAAATTCTGTCCATAAAAATAATGAACAGAACCGGTGACAAAGGGCGGCCCTGCCGGAGTCCAACATGCACTGGAAACAAGTCTGACTTACTGCCAGCGATGCGAACCAAGCTCCTGCTCCGGTCGTACAGGGACCGGACGGCCCTTAGCAAAGACCTGTACGGATCTGTATAATCTGTACAATGTATGTTTACCGGTATTGCACTGAGGGTTATTGTCCAGTCATACTGTTGTGGGTTAAATGTTAATCAGAGTGATGGCCTGGGGGAAGAAACTGTCCCTGTGCCTGGTTGTCTTGGTGCACAGTGACCTGTCCAGAGGGGAGGAGTTTAAACAGATTGTGTCCAGGGTGTGAGGGGTCTGCAGTGATCCTCTCCACCCTCCTTTTGACCTGTGAGATGTACAGGTCCTCCATGGAGGGCAGGCTTGTCCTGACTGTCCTCTGGAGTCTATTCCTGTCCTGTTTTGTTGCTGAGCCAAACCAGACAGTGATGGATGAGCAGAGAACAGACTCAATGATTCCTCTGTAGAACTGTATCAGCAGCTCCTGGGGCAGGTCGACCTTCTTGAGCTGGTACAGGAAGTACCTCTTCTGCTGTACCTTCTTGGTGATTGTGCTGATGTTGGACGTATTTTAACTGACTTCACTGACAGTATGCTGAGAGCATCTGAGTGACCAAGAAATATAAGACTTGCAGTCCTTCATCTCAGATCCACGTCTTTAATTCCACCATACTCAATTTGTAGTTGTGATTCAACTAACAAAATGCTAGTCAGTCCAAGGTCTACATCCAGGGTCCACACATTGCCATCAAAAGTATTTATACAAATGCACTCTTTAATTATACTGACAGAACCTCTACAAGCTGTCAGAAGTAAAGCTTTCTGTAAGTTTGTCTTGATGGTTAGAAACACTGAACTAGGACATGATCACTTTTATCTATTGTATAGAGCTTTGGCATGTACTGTTTTCCTAGACAGAGCAAACCTTACTGTGGTTTTGTGACAGACTGGAAAGACTGTGAACCTATTCTTTAAGGAATCATTACAAAAGTGTTTGTTAGTGTCACATCTGAAAAGGTGAGTACAGCTTGATCATAATGTATGTTGCCTGTGTTAGACAGCTCTTAACTGGGAGTGTGTGTTTGTAGGTGAAGTTTATGAAGAGTGTTCCTGGTACAGCTTTGGTTGAGATGGGAGATGAGTATGCTGTGGACAGAGCCATCACACACCTCAACAGTATCAAGGTGTTTGGCAAGAGACTCAACGTCTGGTGAGAAGTGGATCAGTACACATACATACTGTACTCTGGTAATACTGACAACATTTCACATCTTTCACCATGCTGTTATGAAGGCTCTACATGCAGATGTGAGTGAAATGAGATATTACTGCTTGGGGCAGTGGTTTAGTCAGTCTCTAACCTTTAGGCCAAAGGTTCACCACAAGGCTGTGTGCTGAGCCCCCTGTTCTACACCCTGTACTTCCACGACTGCAACCCGCCCACCACAGCAACACCATTGTAAGATTTGCTGATGACACCACGGTGGTGGGGCTTATCTCTGGGGGATGAGACTACTTACAGGGATGAGGTGGAGAGGCTGATAGTGTGGTGCAGAGAGAACAATCTGCTCCTTAATACCTCAAAGACTAAGGAGGTCATCGTTGACTTCAGGTGTCTGTATATTTTTGGTTTATTTTGTGCACAAGGTAAGAACATTTCTATGCGCATGTTAGTGAATAAGGTCCACTGCCTGTCTGCCGTTTGGTGTTTACAGTCTTATGCAAAAGTTTAGGCACCCCTTGATACATAACAGATTTTGGTGATTTTTTATTTGAACAGATGTTAACACAGTTTCTCTTGGAAATGGAAAAAATGCACAATATTTTCTGCAAACAGTGATGCATAGTTACTTCTTATGCCATAAATTGAACAAAAATAAAAAATAAAAACATTATTATGGCATGGTGCAAAAGTTTGGGCACCCTACACAATCAGTACTTAGTAACACCTCCTCTGGCAGATATCACAGCTTGCAAACGCTTTTCATAGCCAGCTAAAAGTCTTTCAATTCTTGTACTTGGGATCTTCTCCCATTCTTCCTTGCAAAAGGCTTCTAGTTCTGTAATATTCTTTGGTCGTCTTGCATGCACAGCTCTTTTAAGATCTACCCACAAATTTTCAATGATGTTTAAATCAGGGGACTGTGATGGCCATTCCAAAACCTTCAGCCTGCGTCTCTTGAGGTATTCCATAGTGGATTTCGAGGTATGTTTAGGATCATTGTCCTGTTGTAGAAGCCATCCTCTTTTCAGCTTCAGCTTTTTTACAGATGGTGTGATGTTTGCTTCCAGAATTTGCTGGTATTTAGTGGAATCCATTCTTCCCTCCACCCGTGCAATGTTTCCTGTGCCACTGGCTGCAACACAACCCCAGAGCATGATAGATCCACCCCCATGCTTAATAGTTGGCAAGGTGTTCTTTTCATGAAATGCTGCTCCTTTTTTTCTCCAAACATGCCTTTGCTGATTGTGTCCAAAGAGTTCTATTTTAACTTCATCAGTCCACAGCACTTGTTTCCAAAACGCATCGGGCTTCTGTAGATGTCCTGTTGCATACTTCAGACGTTGGATTTTATGATGGGGACGCAGATAAGGTTTTCTTCTGCTGACTCTTCCATGAAGGCCTTGTCTGTGCAAGCATCGCTGCACAGTGGAACGGTGCACCACCACTCCTGAGTCTGCTAAATCTTCCTGCAGGTTTTTTGCAGTCAAATGGGGGTTTTGATTTGTCTTTCTGACCAGCATACGAGCAGTTCTGTCCGAGAGTTTTCTTGGTCTTCCAGATCTCATCTTGACCTCCACAGTTCCCCTGATCTGCCATCTCTTATTTACATTTCTTACTGTGGAAACTGCAAGCTGACAACGCTTTGCTATCTTCTTGTAGCCTTCTCCTGCATTGTGGGCGTCAATAACTTTCATTTTCAGGGTCTTACACAGCTGCTTAGAGGAACCCATGGTTGCTGGGTGTCCACAAGTGTGTGCACAAGGTTTGAAGAGTCAAAGTATTTGTACAGCTTTGAAATTGGCATTTACCAATGACAGCTGTTGCTGTGCATCAGATCTAACGAGCTGATTAAGGTCTGATACCTTGTGAGAGACTTTGAGACTCTGGAACTCTTAGGGTGCCCAAACTTTTGCACCATGCCATAATAATGTTTTTATTTTTTATTTTTGTTCAATTTATGGCATAAGAAGTAACTATGCATCACTGTTTGCAGAAAATATTGTGCATTTTTTCCATTTCCAAGAGAAACTGTGTTAACATCTGTTCAAATAAAAAATCACCAAAATCTGTTATTTATCAAGGGGTGCCTAAACTTTTGCATAAGACTGTATAGTCACAAACCAAAAAAGCAGTAAATAGATGCATAGTAAGGTTTATTCTTTCTGCAGGTTTTGTAGGTTAATCAGTCATTAATAATACTTTAATGCTCTCGTCATTCCTGTATGAGCTTGTATGACCAATCCTAAGAGTTCAGAGCCTTTTGTTGGAATGTTTTAGTAAATGAGGCCCCTGGTCATTTCTACTGGTGATGCTTTGGAAGTTGAAATGGTGACATGACTGTGTACAAACCCAATTTGTGAGATGTTAATGGAGTTTTTGCTCTTTCATTCAAAGCAAATCTAACATGCATGGATTTGATCAGATACTGTAGGTAACACAGCTGTTGTGTTGTGTGCAGTGTGTCTAAGCAGCATGCGGTGATCCCCAGTCAGGTCTTTGAGTTAGAGGATGGGAGCAGCAGCTATAAGGACTTTGCCATGACCAGGAACAACCGCTTCAGCAGCGCCGGACAGGTGTCCAAAAATATCATCCAGCCTCCATCTGCAGTGCTGCACTATTACAATGTTCCTCCATGCATATCACAGGACCATTTACTGAGGGTATGGTGCATGTATAAAATATCCTGTTGGTTTTTTGTCATGCTTGAGTTTAAAAGAGAATGAAAGTAACTCCCTCCAAGGTTCCTTTCCTATGGTCTCTTTGGTGTGACCTGGCTTCAGCCTTTGTCTGTGAACCTAAGCAGTTCTTAGGCTTTAAAATGTTATGTTGTCTATTGCACTCTTTTGATTATTAATTAATTTGTTGTTTATTAATGTGTATTTATTTGTGTACATATGCATATAATCTACAGTATGTCTTCATGCAACAGCACAACAGCAGATGATTAAAATTCAACACTTGTTCATATACCGTATGGCCATATATTACATTTTTACTTATTATTATTATTATTATTAGTAGTAGTAGTAGTAGTAGCAGTATTAGTAGTAGTATTTATATAAAATGTTATCATTTCATATCATTTTGTCATCCTGAAAAACACACATGTTGGTGCAGTCTCATCATCAAGCCATGTAGCAATAACATGTAGCTGTGGACAGGTGGCGACTCACCAGTGTTAAAACCAATCAGGCCATGTGATGATTTTAGTTTTACATGGTTTTGCCTAACACAGATTCACTTATATATTAGTGGCTGTGTGTGTTTTGGCAGCTGTGTACCGAGCATGATGTACCTGGCTTTGTCAAATTCAAGATGTTTGATGCCAAACGTAAGTAGAACCTCAATGTGTGACTTGTTATTAGGTTCTTGTTAAGTTCCTGTTCTCCTTTTGTGATCTGTCTATGATTTACCTCTCCCCGTAAATTGACACATTACAAGTAAGTTGTTACTCACCTACTCTTCTCTTTTAATCTCACATTCTGTATCTTTCCTTTAGCCTCCTCTAAGACCATCTCTGGCTTGCTGGAGTTTGACAGCAAGACAGAGGCTGTGGAGGTTCTTACTGTTCTCAACCACTACCAGATCAGGATACCCAGTAAGTCCTGTCCTACAAGCATCACCATACTGCACTATACTAAATGTCCACTCTGTCAAGGTCATTTGTGCTTGATTGTATTTACATCTGGAAGGAAAATTGGTGTGGTTTGATATACATATCCGATATACACTAGGTGCAAAACAAAATCAAAAGGTTAATTCAATCAAAGCACAACACTGTTCATGGCATGGAGACAGGCACACTAAGCCACATGTAGGGGGCTACTTGCAGTGACAGAGCACTTAGACACAGCACCAAGCAAGGCACCAGGGCCATCACACCAATTAGTTCGTTTTTGGCATTTCTCTTTTTTTTTATCAGTCAGTATGTATTTTGATACACTTGTGTCTGTATAGGGTGACTAATGTCTGCGTGTGTGTGGTTTCAGATGGGTCTAACCCTTACACCCTGAAACTGTGTTTCTCCACATCATCTCATCTATAAAAAGCTGGAGACCACAAGAAGAAGTTGCTGACCATGGTGATGGTTGACTTCTGACCTGAGAGGGGGGCAGGGACCATGACAGACAGACACACAGTCAAGACCTCCTCCTTCTTAAAGATAAGAAGAAGAAGAAAATTAAGAAGGTGGAGGGAAAAGTATTAAGGAGAGAGAAGACACTGTCACTGTCTCCAAACTGAACATCAGACATAGCCATCATCCTACCATCCAGTCACAGTTTCAACAAGCTGACAGGCTAGTGATTGTTTGGAATATGTGTTTATATTGTCGTGTGTATACAGTAAATGTGCATATGTTTTTAACACAAGTTCTCATTTAGGGATCATTAGTACAAAAAAGTGTTTGTGCCCTGGCAGCAGCGAGGTGTTGCTCCACTGTCTGGTCAAGCACTTAGGCCCAGAGTGATATCTCAGCTTCTGACCAGTTTTCTGTGGATATTTGTGGTTCTCAAATGAAGGCTCTTAAGGGTTTTGGTGACCCTGTGGCGTGACCTGTACCCTATCACCATCATAAGGTCAGAATGTTCAGCCAATACTTTGGTCTATGACATTGTGTCATGGTAACTAAATCTGAAATTCTTTAAGTATTCCTAGAGGATGAACTCTAATGTTTGTATTATTTGTTTTAGCCCCATCTTCAGTTTTACCGTCATCATAAGAGAGTCCAAACTCTAATGGGCAGGTTTCCATGGAATTTACTGAGCACATTTGTTCTGCTCAGAGGACAACCTCTTTTTATTTTGGATATTCTATGATCTCCCTATTAGCACCATCCTCAGACCAAAGTATCAGCTTTACATATAAGATACAGTAATATATACAGTAATATACAGTACAGTACATGTACTGTACTTTGTAGATTGATGAAAGTTTCCTAATCACACTCATGCTTCCATGTTTGTGTGACATTTTCATCCCCCTAGACAGTCCCACCTCTGGTGAAGTTATCTATTTTTTTCTGTCTTTCAAATTGTGAAATGTAATAAAATTATAGCCCCACAGGGTCACTGGCAGGGTTTCAACTTTGAGGTTTCTAGTCTGATGGCAGAGGCACTAAATATTAGTGATGTCAAGTTACAGTTAATACACTGAGAACGTGGAGCTCATGAAAAAGAATGAGCAGCATGGGCAGTCTGTGCACTAGCTCTTATAACTACTGATATGGTTTGTCATTTATCTCACTTTAACATACTGCTACTTCACAAAAGTTTTACATTTCATTTAGACAAAATCTATTGTATCAGATCATATCAAGTATTTCATTATTGCATCTTTGATTACTGTCCAAAATAATGGAATAGCACACATTTCACAAGGTAGCCTCACATCAGCGAGGTTACAGGTTTCCAGCTTATTGGCCAGATGGGGCCATTCTCTGTGAGGTTAACATCACGTGCCTGTGCGGGTTTCTTCCCACAGTCCGGAGTACTGTGGTTACTGCCATCTCTACATTTTCATGTAGGTGTGAATGGTTGTTTGTCTCTGGGTGTCCTCCTTGTGATAGGTGTGTAGATGTAGATGTATTTTGTGAATCAGTCAACATTAAAAAATGTCCGCAGAATAATACAAACACACCGACATCAGGGAGGCCCCACTAGCCGACTGATGGCACTGACTGTATGGCACTTCCTTTACTGCCCGAGAGAAAACACAGAGCTTCAGAGTTATGACTTGACTGTGCCAGGTCACTGCCATCAGGCTAGTAGCCTGGGTCTTCATTGTGATGATTTAGAAACAGTGTTGGGGGTTCAGGAGGTTCCTCCACAACGCTCTGCTCTTTGTGGTGTAGCCTACATGCCTGACTGTTGGTTTTCCACTAAATATAACCAATAAAGCATGACTTGTATTTTATGTGTTGAGAGGAAAAACCATGTTAGACCGTAATGACTTGAGAGTAGAGTTCTGCTTTCATGTAAACACAATCCGTGCTTGTTCAGTGTTTTGACTAAAAGTAGTGAACCTAATGCATCTACTTGTCAGTATTCAAGTCTGATCTTTATTTGATATCTGCTATTCTCAGTATTACAGATAAGTCCATAGTGTAAACTAACAGAGAACATGTTTAAATATATCCACTTTAACCTCTTAAAACAGGTTCAATGCACCTGAAATATCTCTAACATATATGCATTGTTTTTAAAATGAAGTGCACAACTACTGTAAGACCAGAATGTCAAAATAATCTAATCTAAGCTAACCTCACCTCAAAACTCTGTATATGTCCATTCCATTTTATCATATCTTGAAATCAGTGTCATGCCTGTGTAGAAAATCTTTATTCTCATTTGCAAGATATAAATACTAGTCTGCACATGGAAAACTACTTGAATTACATAATATTAAAGGACATTTTGCTTTGTCATATTAAACAGCATATTTGTTTTTTCCTTATTTTTAATAATGTAATGCCCATACAATTAGTTTTGTGTATTTTGCATAAAATATGTGAATAAACAGGCTACCTAAAATCTGGGAGATGCATAGGCTCCTTATGATATGGATTACCAAATGGGCCAACTGAGCACTGGCCCAGAAGCCCGAGAATTCAGGGAACCCCAAGGCCAGACCCTCCGCTACCAAGCTCAGTTAAAACACAAAAAACGACCACAAGGAGACACAAACCCACTTTCTTTTAGTGTACCACGATCCATCAGACTGGTGAAGTAAGGCATGCTTCTGTATATAATATGTAAATATGAAAATGATGAAAAGTGTGAAAGGTTTTGACAGATGAATCCCGCTGAGTCTGCAGGTTCATTAGATAGACACAGAGGTGTGTGTATGTCACATAGAGAACCTAACATCTCACCGTATTTCTAAAGAGGTTTTATTTATTAAAGTGTTTGATAAATGATGGCTGTTGTTACTCTGTGAGGTTTTAATGACTGGACTGACATTCACAGATATCTTATCATTTTGAGGCTGTAAATGTTCAGTGTTGTTAATAGTCTGTAATCCCTGATAAAAATAAATAAATACATGCATATAACTATATAGTTTGAATCCCATTCATTCAAGAATCTGTGCTGGTAATTTGTAGGTAGGTTACATTTTCAGATGGAATAAATTGTGGTTTGGGTTGTAAGGTCAGCTTCACACAGCTTAACTACACCCCTCTGCTAAAAAAGATAGAAGATGATTTTAAACATTGGTCCCATCTTCCTCTCTCACTCATCGGTCGAATTGCTACTGTCAAAATGAAAACTCTACCTCAAATCAACTATCTGTTCACAATGCTTCCCATAACACCCACAGATAAATGGTTTAAATCACTTGATTCTTTAACTTCACAATTTTATTGGAAAAACAAGGAACCCAAAATTTATTTATCTACACTCCAAAAGAAAAAATCACTAGGTGGCCTAGAAGCACCAAATTTCCAATATTACTACTTGGCAAATCAGCTACAGTATTTAGTGAAATGGATTCAGAAGGAGAGTTAGAACAGTGCATGGATAGAATTAGAGCAAAATTACTGTAAAAATAACTTAAATAACTCAGTTTCAAACCTTCCTTCCTACCCAACTCTACTAAGCAAATGAATCACTGTAAGAACATCACAATCCTCTCAACTCTGACAGCCTGGTGGAAAGTAAACAAAATCACTAAATCATCACTTGCACCATGTAGATACACTCCAATTTGGCACAACCCTGATTTTCAACTGCATAATAACCCTATCTATTTCCCAGCATGGCAACACAAAGGAATCACTCACTTACATCACCTGTTTGAAAATAACCAGTTTATTTCATTTAATACACTGATCCAGAAGTCCAGAGTTCAGAGAGAACAGTTCCTCCAGTACAATCAA